ACTTAAAAATGGTAATAAGGTAGATTTTATATTCTTCAATGCAATAAATAATAAATTTTTAAAGAGAGAGATAAACAATAGCTACAATCTAAAAGCAGTTAGTCATCTATACTAATCTAGATCATCCATTCCAATGGTTTTTAAACCTTTAACAGTGAAAGCATTTTCACTTAAAATTTTCCAGTAAACTCGATAATGAAACCATAAAAGTAGAACTGTGTGTGTCAAGTTGTGTTGGATGGGAGGGAACCAGAGCTCCTCATTTTATAGACAAAGAAAATGAGGCCCTGGTAGGAAAAGGGATTCACTGTGAAGCACAGGGTGGGTTAATGGCATGGCCACATCTCCTGGTTCCCAGCTTAGTGTTCTTTGCATTTTTCATTAAAGTTCTTGGGCCTAATCTGAAAAACACCAACATAACCATAAATGGTAACAGCTGATGGTACACGCAATTGAGCTATGGAAGGAGGGAGACTTTTTAAGCGCAATCATCAGCCAACAGATTTCCGGTTTCAACGGTTTTTTTAATATCGAATTTGTTTTTATTATAGAAACAATATCCATTTATTAAATGAACTTTTGAGATTGCACAGAAACAAAAAAGGAGAAAAATTTATAATCCTACCAATTATATAAACAACTGTTAACGCTTGAATGTGTCTTCTTTCTGTCTCTTAATGAACAGATAGTTGGGTTTTTACCAAATTGTATTCGTTCTGTATGTTCAATTTTGTATCATGCTTTTATCACAATATTAGAGCACAAGCATTTTCCATTTGTAAATAACATTTTCTTTCATGGCTACATAATATGCTTTGAAGTAGTCATGCCATGCAGAAGGTTTTTTTCTAAATTTGTTCACCACTTCAAATAATGCCAAAATGAACATGTATCTGTGTATATAATGGTGTTGAACAATGTGTATGGTAGTATACTAGAGGCAGAATTAAGTTTAAGAACCTGAAGATTTTTCAGTCTTTTGGTATGTAGCATCAAATCACATATATTTATTTATGCATACTTACATAAACATGGTTTAAAACTCTGGAAATAGAAATATAGATAAAATAATATTTGCCATTATTTCTTTAACCTAGGGGTAGATAACTATTGAATATTTTGGTATAGTCCTTCCCCATCTTCTTGAAAATACATACATATGCACATACAATTACCAAATTGAGACAGTTGTGCATGGGTGTGTAATAGTTTGGTTTTAGATAGGATTATTTATTACCATGACAATAAATAATACTTAGACACCAAACAGATTTTATTTGTTAATCACAACATATTATCCCTATCACACGGCCAAACACACTCCCATTTTCCACCCTTAGTGCAGCCATATTCACATGCCATGCCCAAGTAACAGAGAGATTACATATGAGACCACCCCTAATAAGACAACTCTCAAGACACAATCTCGGTTGTAGTTCTCACTGGCTTTCTTCTGAGAAACTGACTCACAAGTGAATATAGGCTGTTGCGATAGCATTTTTCTAACTTGAGACTTCTACAGAGCTCAACGTAGAGTGATACGCCGCTGTGCCAGCCACCAGGAACAGCTTTGGACCAGATGTTTCCAAAAGCAGGGTGGTTAAGACGGAAACTTTGACATTAGACTCCCCTGGGTTCCAGTCATGACTGTACCTCCTATTGTCCGTGAAACTAGAATTAACCCCTCTAAGTCTCAGTCTCTCCACCTATAAAAACAAATGACAGTAGCTACCTCATAGGTTTGAAGCGATGATCGGATGAGACAATGCATGTGAAGTACTCAGCACTGTGTCATTGCAGGCACTTAATTTTAACTGTAATTCTTATTTTGAGGAGTTCTGGCAGCGGCTTTCTGCTCTCACTCTCACAAAGATGACTTTCTCTTTCTTCATTGATCTACTACCAGAAAATATTTCTTGACTGATAATTCCCAAAGCGGTCATTATGGCAATGAATATAACAGTTCAAAATGTTATCATATTTATCTTATTACAAATGTTATTAATAGCTCAAAGCAGTTGAAATTGCCATTAACTATTTTTAATAAATAAGAATATTTCAGTGCTTAATATCCCCACAAGCTTTACATGACAATATTTTCCTCAATCTTCACAAGTCTGTGAAGTATTATTATTACCATTTTGCAAATGGGCAAGCGGATATGGACACTTTAAGAAATTTAGTGACACTAAAGGTCACACAGGTAGAAGTCGAAGAGCAAAGATTTGAGTCCAAGCCTGTTTTAATCCAAGCTCTAAGACCCATCCCCTGGGCCAGGGATCAGAAAACCTTTTTCTGTAAAGAACCAGGTAGCAAATATTTTAGGCTCTTCAGGCCTTACGTTCTCCATCATAACTACTGTACTCTACCATTACAGCACAAAAGCAGCTATAAACAATACAAAAATGAATTACACGACTGTGTCCAACACACTTTATTATGGGCACCAAAATTTGAATTTTACATAATTTGTATGTGTCACAATATATGACTCTTATTTTCATTTTCTTTTTTTTTTTTTCTTTTTCTAATGGGAACGGAGTTTTGCTCTTGCTGCCCAGGCTAGTGTTCAGTGGTAGGATCTCAGCTCACTGCAACCTCAGCCTCCTGGGTTCAAGCAATTCTCTTGTCTCAGCCTCCTGAGTAGCTGGAATTACAGGCACATGCCACCGAACCTGGCTAATTTTTGTATTTTTAGTAGAGAAGGGGTTTCATCATATTGCTCAGGCTGGTCTTGCACTCCTGACCTCAGGTGATCCACCTGCCTCGGCCTCCCAGAGTGCTGGGATTACAGGCGTGGGCTACCACACCCAGCCTCATTTCCTTTCCAACCATTTAAAATTGTACAAATCATTCTTAGTTCATGAGTCATATAAAAAATAGTAGGCGGACTATAGGTGCATCTATGGGGAGAATACAATTATCAGGAAATGTGGGGATCCACACCGGACAGTTTTCAGGGGTGTGATGCTGCTAGACTCTCCCTCAGGTCTTTTGTTATCCTTTTGGCCTGTAACACTCCTGCAACCCCTCCTCCCCAGCATCTGCCTTTAACTGCCATATGCCTTGCCATCCTTCAAACCAAAATAGCTGCACTGTTACTTCTTGCAGGAAACGCAACAAACCCACCCTTACCTCCACCTCCATACTAAGCAAGGTACCCCTTTTCTGCTCTCTCTTAGCACCCTATATGTTCCCATCATAGGATCTATCACAAGAAATTAAAACTTGGGTACAAGACTGTCCGATCCAAAGACCAGTGCCATAAAGGCGAGCTTCTGTCTTGATGATTAGTGTACCCACTCAGTAATTAGCACAGTGTACAGAATATAGGAGAAGTTTAATACATGTAGGAATGAAGAACAGTGGGAGAAAGGAAAGTGGGGGAGAGGGAAGAGACATGTCAAAGTTCTTAGCTGTAAATACAAGCTCTGAACAAGATAAGGAGAGATGGAGAGAGTAGAAGAGGAATCTACACCTGGCCATTAGGAAAAAGGTGGAAAATTGCCAAACATGAATGTGGAAACCCTTTCTCTACTTCTCGCGAGGGGCAGTCCATGATTCCCTGTAAAAAGGTCTGTTCATGGTGTTGGGACAATGAAGAATAAGGCAGAAACTAGTCACTTAGACTTGTCCCAGCAAGGACTAGAGAAGAGATACCAACTAGAGAATTTGAGTGCCCATGGACTCCTGAGTCATTTACATCGTGTTTCCTGATAGTGAAATGCAGAAACAGCAACACCTCAAAACTTACGGTGGCTTCTTTTTAAAAATGTTGTAACAAATGAAAGAATCCAACTGAGGACACAAAGGAAAAAGAAATTAAAGAGCCAGGAGGTGGAGGTATGAGGGGATAGGGACTCTAAAACCTCTTTCAGCTCCGTATCAAACAGACTTGCTCTTTTTAAGAGATTATGGAAGCTTGGATTTGTTCTCCAAAGCACTCCTTTGAAGCAAAGAGTTTAATCAGCACACACCATTAATGCTTCAGATTTGGGGGTTTCTCTTTTTTTCTTTTCTCGACTGGGTGCTCTAAGGGAGAGCTTCTTTGAAATGAAAACATGTGGAATAAGAAACACCAATAGTTCACACCACTGCTGCTTTGTGCTTCCTCCACCCCTCTCCCAAATCCTCTTCCTCACAGGTACAAGGCCTCAGAGAGATGCTAACACCTGCTTCTACCAGGAGGCTCTTTAGAGACCCAAACAAAGGTTTAATGAGATGTATTCAGAGTCACATTCCAAACATCTCTTTTATTCATTCACTCATCTCTTGCATCTGCCAAGAAAGGTGACTATCACTGGACAACTGAAGAAGAACCCAAGAAATGCTCAACATTTTCCTCATTGCCTTATCTTCCTTTTCCCACCCCCTGTTGTTTCTGAAGCAGAAGGGGTACTCCTGGATCTACCAGGTAGATTCTGTTCAAATAGGGCATGAAGCCTACTCACTGTCACTGGAGAAAAGAGTTGAACTATGGACCATACATTTCAAGCCCAAATTTGCCACTAACTTTAAGTAGGTCATTTGATTTCTCTAGGTTCAAGTGGATTCTGTGGCATATCACCGAGATTTTCTCCCACCTACTGGGGATATTAGAAGCTGACAGCTCTTCACTGAAACTCCTTTGCATTTTTTCTTTGCTTAGAAAGAATTGTCCAGCCCAGAGTCTCTTCCTTTCCTGTGAAATAGGTCTCATTCAATTGCTGGTGAGCCATTACAGGAGTACAATATCTTTGTCCCCTTGCCCTAATTTGAGACAGTTCTGCAATGCTACCCCAGTTTCCACATTTCCTGCAAGATAAGCTAGAACTTCATCTAGACATATCCTTCTTCTGCTCAATTTTCCTTCCTTTACTTACCTGCAGGTGTTGATCCTGACAGTCATCCCAATAAAGTTCTTGCACACAAGTCTTGACAATTCTCATACAAATCTCAAGGTCCTCTTTCAGGGAACCTACCTGGGACCTGGCCCATAACTTCCCCATCATGTAATAAGAGGATTCTACCAGATGACCTCCATTTCTGTCTGTAAACAGAAGTAAAGTACAATGATCCTACTGCCAGGCCCACAGTGCAATCAGCAGAAGCAGCAGCAGCAGGGGCTCACGTGCATCTGAATGCAATTGAATTACCTGATTCAGAACATATCTTTCAAACACTCTGAAACAATCAGTGAAGTGGCAAACAGAGACACTAAAACTTGGGGTCTTTAGGTTGGAACCCTATCTCTAGCACTAACTTGCTCAGTAACCCCAGGTAATTCTCTCTGCTGGGCTTCATTTTATTAATTTACAAAATAAGAGGCTTTATCATATTTCTCCCCTCTCTTCATTGTAGATATATTTATGTGATTTCTGCTATGAAAAGGGAAAAAGTTCATTTTTGGAAAAATCATTGCGTCACTCACCATGAACCAAAAGCTCACATTAAGCATCTCGTTATTCATGACCCTGCACAGCACCCTCTGGAGCCCTTGCCCTTGGAGAATGTGTGGTCTAAGGCTGGTTGACCCGTACTGGGAGTCACCAGTACAGCCTTGTAAATTACAGTATGCCATAGCCTTGTAAATGATAGCAGGTTTCTCCTTTGTGGATGAGTGGCATGTTGAATGAGGCATACCCCCTAGTTCAATGTGCTGCTCATCCACAAAGGAGAAACCTGCTATCATTTACAAGGCTATGGCATATTCAAAGAATAACTAGAAGGAAATAGAAACTAACATATATGGCGAACTGGCTAAGTGCCTATCAGGAATTTTTGTCCTCTTAATTGGATTACAGTTCATTTACTTCTGAAAACAGTCCCTGAAAGTCAACCATCGCCATCCCCATTTTCAGATGAAGCTGCAGAGAGGTTGTGACAGCCCAGAGTCAAGCAGCAAGCATGTGGAAGAACCAAGGCTAGAACCCCAGCGTGGTCCTGTCACACTGTAATATACAGGCCTGCTCCTCTGTCTGTCTCCTCAGTGAGAGCTGGGAGCTGCTTGCGGGCAGTCCCTATGGCTTTCTTCTGCATATCCTGAACACCTAGTGTGATGGCAAGTACCTGTTACCAAAAACATGTTTATAGCATTACTTAATTAAGGTCTCTTGACTTCTCTTGCTATTTCTATCACACTATCATGCAATTGGCTTTGCTCCTTCGCCTCCAAATTTTTCTAAAAATTATTCATCTTGAGACAGGCAGAAGATCAATCTCAAATAACAAACATGTAGCTTATTACAGTCTCCCAACTTACATGGTGATAGGCGTCATTTGGCCCCCTTGGGATTTAATAACTAGCTGACAAGCCTCAACACTGTCAACGTGAGTGAGATTGGCTCACTTAGGCCAGCTGGGCAAGGATTTCCATTGATTATTCCTAAAAACCCATTATGCTTTTGAAAGCCATTTCATTTTCAGATGGTTTAAATACACCCTTCTTATCATTTTTAAGCATGCCCACAAAAAGCATCCTAAAGATACTTGATCATTCAATTACACTAAATGAGGCCAAGGTATATACTGCTGCCTCAGAGGTTATCATGCTTAATAAAACATACTTTATAAACCCCACGAAGGCTGTAATTAAATTTACAAGCAGCCTTCCCCACAACTTTAACAAAAGATGCCTGAATGGTATGTGTGTGTGTGTGTGTGTCTGTGTGTGTGTGTGTGCGCGTGTGTGTTTTAAAGTGTCCTGTTCCATAAGGATTATAGCTCCCCTGCTGTTTGGAAAAGATAATTGCACTTGTAACACTAATAACTTGAGCAAGGGAGAAGCTGGCCTGGTGAATGGAATGCACTTCATTGCACATCTTGGCTCAGCTAGAAATCGGAAACAGATGGTCCTTGCGGCTGGTTTCCCACTCGAGCCCGCTCACTGCCAGCCTGTGGTCTTCTGTGGGCTGCTGCTGGCAGTCTGTGACTTGAACATAGTAGGACAGTGGCAAAAGAAATCAAATCTTTTCCAATGAGCAGCAAGTTATAATGAAATTTGACAGATCTGACATTCTATACCCAACATCTAGTTAGAATATATTAACCTTTAGTTTTCTTAAGCGCCTTGCATAGAAGTTGTGAATATACTTATTAGAGGGTTATATCGTCTGAGGGGTTTTTTTTCTTTTTTTTTTTTTTTAACAGGGGGCATAGGGTTTAGTCCAATCTTGGGTGGCAGCCGGCTAACAGAAAATGCAGAGAAAGTAAAAGTCAAAGAATTTCTAAATGGAAATGCGGCACAAGAACGGCCGCCAAGAAGAAGGCTGATTCTTTGCAGGACACTGTGGGTGAGTTTCTGCCAAAAATAAATTATCAATATTTTCCTTGCACAATACAGATTGATTGATCAATAGATAGAAACCCATATCCATATATGTGCAATATGCCAGGTCAAAAATCTGGGCAATCTCTGGGCATCCTATTAAAATAGATGGGGCTGTCTGGACCCTCCGGCATTTTCTTCAATTCTGCCCTTTTCAGCTTTGCAGCATTCACTTCTGCCATACGGTGAGAAAACCATGCCAGGTGACTTGAGACGCTGGTTCTTTAAGTCACCACACTCACACCCAGTAATGACGTGTACCTGTATAGAGGACTTTGCTGCCCTCATCAACAAAGGATACATCTCCCACCAAAGACCTTGACGCTTTTCTGAGCTTTGGAGGAACTAGACTTTCTATAATTTTGTGTTGATTTTTCTTTGTATCCCAACACTTACATGTGAATACGCCCTGACTTGAGGGTTTAGATGGTGATGTCCTGAACACCATGTTAGGATTTTCCACCTGGTTGAGGTTACAGAAAAGATCTAGGTGTTAATAGTAGATAACGCCTTTTTTTTTTTTTTTTTTTTGAGATGGAGTTTTGCTCTTGTCGCCCAGGCTGGTGTGCAATGGCATGATCTCAGCTCACTGCAACCTCTGCCTCCCGGATTCCAGCAATTCTGCTTCGGCCTCTCGAGTAGCTGGGATTACAGGTGCCCACCACCACACCCAGCTAATTTTTGTATTTCTAGTAGAGATGGGGTTTCACTATGTTGGCCAGGCTGGTCTTGAACTCCTGACCTCAGGCAATACACCCGCTTCGGCCTCCTAAATTACTGGGATTACCAGGTGTGAGCCACCGCCCCCAGCTGGTAATGCCTCTTAATACAGCTTTTATTTTCTGTTCTATTCTTTTCTTTATTTTCAATCTTTAATCTACCCATTGCTCTAATCTGAACGTTTCTGCAGCTTCAGCAACAGGCTACATTTCTAATTTCATGTTTTCCATGACCCTGATGATTCAAGGCCATACATATCTGTTAAGCCCAACATTCAAATCTATACAAGAAATAAAAAATATCCAAGGCAGGAAGATCACTTGAGACCAGGGATTCGAGACCAGCCTGGGCAACAAAGTAAAACCCTGTCTCTCCAAAATAAATAAATAAATAAATAAATAAATAAATAAATTTAATTAGCCAGGTGTGGTGGTGTACAACTAGAGTCACAGCTACTTGGAGGCTGAGGCAGGAAAATCAGCTGAACCCAGGAGTTCAACGCCACTGTACTCCAGCCTGGGTAACAGAGAAATCTTATCTCCAAAAAATGAGTAAAAAATAAAAATTGTCTTCTGAGAACTAACTGGTTGGAATAGCAAAACCATGAGCTTTTCTTTATACAGACATAGGGTTGAATTTTGGCTCTTGTTTAGCGTGTGTCTTTAGCCAAGACTCTTACCTTTTTGACCCTGATCTGCAAGTTAATAATTGTAACAACAGCCTCCTATGGTTGTTGTAAATGTTAAGTGACATATCACCCCAAAAGCACCTTTAAAAACAGTATGGCGTGTGGCAGGTGCTAAATCCTGTTACTTCTCTCCTTTTTTGGCTCAGGAGGCAACGCCAGAGTGGTGAAGCTCTGCAGTCATCATTCCTGGGCTTCAGTCCTCCTATCGCTAACTCTGGAGCTCTAAGCAAGTCACTTTACCTCTTGGAGCCTGTTATCCTGGTTGCAAAATGGAGTTAATAATAGGTCCTACCTCATAAGGACTTACCTGAAGGAAAAAAAAAACATATAAAGATCTTAGAACAGTGCCTGGCCAAAAAGAAACACTCCACAAACATGAGCTGTTGTGTACAAAATCAAATTGCTCTTCTCCTAGACTTTCAAATTTCCTACAGTCCTAGAAACTGAGCTTGAAAAAAGAGAGAAAATAAGTGTTAGTGCCTGCATCACATACGTTGCTATTAAGTGGGTGAATAAATAAAGAAAGACACACTTTCATCAAAGGCAAGTAATAATACAGTCAGTTGATGCAAAGTACTAACGGATGGTGCAGATGAGGAAGGCAGCAGGGCACCGAGGGTGCTGGGGTCACTGTGAGCTGCTGTCCTGAGGAGGGTGTCATGTACAAGGAGGGCAATAGCTTGAGCCAAGGTAAAAGACAAGGTTGTGTAAATGGAAGAGTGCAAATTTCAAAGCGGCTAGCGTCCTGTGACTTTTCATTCTCGTTCTCTAACCATGTAGGGAGCCCCTACTCTGCCCAGCACTATGCTTGGCCTTATAGCTACTCTGATGGGCAAGATACGGTCCCTGCCCTTAAGAACCTCAAGGTTCAGGAGGGAAAAAGACTAGGAGGCAGGTGATTCCAGAAGAGGGTGCTAAGAGCCGCAACGGAGCAAGGCACAGGTTATGATGGAAGAACAGAGGGAAGGGATCCAACTGAGCCTCACAGCACAGGACCAGAACGGGGAAGAAAGAGGGCTTCCCTCATTAGGGGAATAATAGTAACAAAACATCAATAACAGCACAATAACTTTAGTTGAGCACTCATTACATACCAGGGACTAAGTACCTTATGCATATTTTTGCTTCTAACTACGCTACACTACACACACACACACTCACACACTTAATAACTATTAACTTCATTTTCCTGATTATGATAGGACACAGAATCAGAGTGGCTAACTAACCTGGGAGAGGTCACACAGTAACCAAGAGAGCCCAGATATGGTCAACTGGATTGCAGAAGCAGTGTTCTCAATCCCTCTATGACCCAGCCTCCAAAAATCATTAATATGCCATATCATATCTCCTGTTAGCAATACATAACAAAAACCAAAACCTCTCCTTGGTATTGGCATTGTACACCTGTTGACAGCAAAGTCTTCGACGCCTTAATCCAAATGCACTGCAGCAAAGACACAGATGAGAATTCACTATCTTCTGAGCTTTCTTGGGTTTTTCCCATTCAATAAAGGGGGCTAGCTTATTAGGGAGCACTGGCCGCCCTGACCTGAGTGAGGCTGGAAAGTGACTTGCACTTTGCCCGAGGCTTCATATTATAAGGAGACAATTCCCTTTATAATGCTTCCCCATTGTCACCCAGGAAATAGTCCTCATCACTTGACTCCCTGTCTAGAGGGATTCCCACTTCTTATAAAATATGCTCAAAGGAAATAAGAAAGGCCAAATTTTGATGGGCTTATTTCTTAATGAGAGCACTGTTTTTGCCTTGGATTCATTCATGTGCAATGGGAAGAAGTATTCAAATGACAAGAGTTAAATTCAAAACATGTAGCCGCTTTCTGTTATATTTTTTTTTCTAACTGAAGGCAAACCATTTAGATGTTTGTTTCCAAAAAGGCATCTGTCAGCAATCAAAGGGGAAAAAATGCATAAAGCAAATGCAATTGTTTGGAGTAGCATTTCCTGGATCATGTTAAATGCTTGAATTGCTCCCCATTATGCTCACCAAATAATTTTATTTCCCACAATAATTGCAATATTTAACATGTTTTATTTAATCTTGTTTTAAGGCTATTAACAACGGGCCACACTGTGAAAAGACTGATTGCTGCATGGGAAGGACAGCTTCCACCAGCCTCTTAGAGAACAATGATAAAGTTAAATGCACCTAATTGTTTGGGATTTAAAATACTATTATCCAATAATATGTATCATTTTTTTGTTCAATCTATGCGCCCTCTCCTGCAAAATCTTCCCAGCTTTTCTAACATTCACAAAGTGAAATCTGGACTCCAGTTTACCTTGTGCTCCATTCATTCATAAATAATGGGCATGGAGAGGGTGCTCTGAGTCTCAAACATGCAGCGGCTCGGACAAGAAACAGCTCCAACTTCAGAGGTTGCTGCAGAACAAACTTAGAAATTGCAAAGCTGTGGACCCACAAGTCCAAGATGTCCATGTGCCTGTATGCCCTGGGAGAAAGCAGAGGAGAATCTAAAACAAGGAAATTTTGTTTTGTCTGCTTGTCAGAGGCAAGTAAGAACGAGTGAAGTAGAATCAGAGGTTGGTTGATTCAAAGACAGAATGTTACTTCATTTCTTTGCTTCTTTTTATTTTCCTCCTTTTTTTTTTTGTTTGGTTGATATTTTACATTTTATAGAGAATTTCCAACATTTTTTCTTATCTTTCTCTACATGATAAAATTAAGAAAGACTAAGTAATTTTAATGATACTGCAGTTACACATGGCAATAAATGTTTTCATTGGCAAGCTCAGGGCAAGTTTCTGGTAGCAGGTCCCTTTGCTATTCGTTGGACAAAAGCTAAAGACATTTCCTGTGCTACTGCAGACTCTTCCTCTGAAAAGACAGGTGACATCAAGGTAATAAAGTATACAAAGATGCTTCCTAAGAGTGATGGCAGTACTTACATTTGGTAACAATTCTGCCTACTGCTTCTCGCCCCATTATTATTAGAAGAAATCCCTTTACAATAAGAGATGAGAAAAAAAAAAAAAGGAAATGCCATATTTGTTGTATTTGTGGTCATTCCTAGAAGCAGTATGTGCATCATTCTTTAAATTAGAGATATTTTTGGTGAAACAGGATAAAATTTAATACAGTTATGTTTTTCAAAACAACATAAATATACCTGCTGCTAAATGATTAAAATAACACCTACTAAAGAAGAGAGCAGAAATAGGAAAACAAAATGCACAAAATTTACCTCTTTGGAACTTAAAATGTGGCCTAAATAAGTTTATCTAAATATTATTCAGTGAAAAATATGACCTGAGCAAAAAATCTATTGGATAATTAGGCAGTAAATGCACAACTTTTTAATAATCGCAGTTCAATAGCCCTGAGAAATAGTGATGGACAAATTTTCCCATGCCCTGGAGTACCTATATTGAAGGCCCATAGCAGAGTAAACTGTAGGTTCTTGGAGATCAAAGGATTTCTTACATTCAGAAAAAATTAGGATGTGTTCGGTGCACATCCACAAAAACTAGGATGTGTTTGGTGCCCTGATAAGGGTATTTCTGCAGTTCCTAATGTCACGCAATTTGAAAAAATATAACAAATACAAGTCATTCTCTCTGCTTCTTTCTCCCTCTTAGTCCTAAGTAAAATGACTTGAAATTCAGCAATCATCTGGACTTTTTCTCACTTTTAAAAATATATATTTTTACAACCATTCTTATTGGTAGGTCCACGTTGTGGTTTACTTTTCCATACTAAAGAATGTATGGTTAAAAACCCCTGTGAAGAAGATGGCTAGGTTACGGCAAGGAAATCAGAAGTGACTTTCTCTGATTAAGGAAGAGCTCATGTCAAGTCTAACCTGAATTGTGCTAAACTGAATTGATAATGACTGATCGCTTTGTTTACAAAGAATGAGAAAGTCCAAAATTAATTTATTTAAAAAGACACCAAAAAATATCGGTGGTGCCTAGCCCAGCATAGGTTAGAACCTGCAAAATATCGGTAATGTATTTATCTACTCACATAAAAGCACACATCTAAACACAATGCCAGCCGAACCAAAAATCAAGAGACCTGAATGCTGCCATCTCTTGTTTATCTTCCTTCATGACTAAATTAACTAATGAGTTATTTTTTTTTAAATAAAGTAAGGAAAGAGAAATATTTTTTCCGGAATTTTTTTAACTTCTTGGAAAACCTGTTCAGTTGTTCCCAGATTTAATTTGAGACTTTTCCAACAGAGATGTGTAAGACAGCAAAACTGAACTAAACATTTTTTTTTAAATGCGCAGCTCACGTTCTTGAGAAAAGTGGCTGTGAAAAACAGATACTGAATCAGACTTAAAGTCGAAAGAGGGGGGGTAAAGAGGGGGGAAAAAGCCCAAAACATTGCATGATAGTCTCTAAGCAGTTCCATCTGTCAAGCAGAAATTTTAGGCTAATAGCCTGTGGCGATCTCCCTCCGCAGTCCACTACCTGCCTTTGTCCTATTAAATCTCTTTATTCTCCTTAAAAAAAAAAAAAAAAAAAAAAAAAAAAAGGTGGGGGGATTGGTTGTTGGAAGAAAAGGAAAAACCCTGCAGACCAAAATCATCTGAGTGATGAAGCCCTAATTTTAACCACCTCCCTTTGATGTGTAGCAGTGGGATCTTGTTTTTTAAAAAGGAGAGAGGAGAAGACAGTGCTAGGAGCAGAAGACTTTTCATCTCCACTTCACCTTGCCACTGGGTCTGTGAGAGATTGGTTCATTGTCAAGGAGATTTTTTTTTTTACCCATGATTCCATATGGTATGGACCGGACTACATGTTGCCCCACATGCCACTGCAAATGTTTTCTCAATTAGGTGTCTTATCTCCCGTGAGTTAGCATCAGATGAAGCTTGCTGACAGCGTAATGGCAGGGAAAGCTTCCGACGGCTCCATCAAATGGCAGCTCTGCTACGACATCTCGGCCAGAACTTGGTGGATGGTGAGTTGGCAGCCGGGGCTGCTTTTTTTTTTTTTTTTTTTTTTCCTTTTCTACTTTCCCTCCCTCTTTGACAAAATGTCCCAGACCTCACATTCATCAAACTCACATTTGATTTTTTTCACACTATTCAGTGAGGCAGCCTCACACTGCTGCCTCTTGCCATCTTCTCTCTGCCACTCTGAGACTTGAGTGGAACACTTGCCCTCATTTTCCATGGGAGAGTATTTGGGGTTTTCTTTCTTTTTTTTTTTTTCTTTTTAATTCTTTTTTAAAGAGTATCAGTTGTAAGGTGGAGGTGGATATTTTAGCCAAGTCAGTCTTGGGGGGAAAAAGTGAAACATTCGTCCCAGTCCTCAGGTTTTGCCTCCTCTCTCTAGTTTCACATCCCCCTTACTTTTGTTTTCAGGGACTCTGGGGTGTATGGTTTTCTTTGGCTGTGGTATTTTCTGAGGACGAGTGTTGGGCACTGAAGAGAAGCAAGCCCTGAGTGAATTCCAGTCCTGGCCAATTAATTGGATTGCCTGAAGTCACCTGTGAGAGAACTCCCAGTCCCCACTCCCTATTTTCCATCCGGGGATCCACAGCTCTCATCTAACTTTTCCCCGTTTATGTCAGAGCAGATTTCTGCCTCTTAGGCACTCTAGCTCTGAGTGGAAAAGACCCACACACTCTATCTTTCAGTTACTCTGGATATAAATAAAGTTTTAATAAAGTTCTGCCATGCAGCGGCAGAATGAGTTAACTCACATGTCATGGTCAACCAGGACAGCAACCTTTGACATCTTGGATCTATAAGAGGTAGAGTGAGTTGGGAGGATGCACAATAGCTCATTGTCACAGGAGATGCAAGTCCTGTGAGGAGGAGAGTCCTCAAATCATTACTGCCCTCGTTAGGATGGTGTCCGTTAAGGATTAATTTGTTAGCAGTGCATTTCTAGTTTTCCGTAATTATTATTCTTTCGGCAAGCGTGAATTCTTCCAGGGAGTGAAAAAAAAGTTTGCTGCCAGACAATGAATGTATTATCCGTTCCTAACTGGACCGTGAACTTCAGCTCATTTCACATAGATATCAGTTTAAGAAAAAAAGAGAGCAAGAGAGATGTTGAAGGGGGAGACTGGCGAATGGAATTACAAAACAGGGCATGGTCGGTTTCATTGTATGATCTGCAGAAAGAGTTCTCTTTTCCCCTTCCTGGACCAATGGTGTATCATTTTGGCAAGTTTTAGGAATTCGGAGGACTGAGAGACTGTTAAAAGTGAGCTACCGCAGGATTCTATCCGGCTGCTTCTTGGGATGCAGTATGTCCATCCTAAGGACTCTTGAGTTAAAGTGGTTGTGGGTATGTGTGTACCTGTGTGTTTTAACTTGTAATTTCTTAACTAGACATTAGAAATTTTACCAGTAATTTCAGAACAATGTTACATGCAGCTTTTGGCTAATTAGACTAGCAGTAGACTATCCACTCTGACCCTGAACTTTTGTTCAGGGCACTTATTTTCCCATTAGAGTTTTTGCCAGCAAGAACAAGGTTTACTTGTATGCTATGATGTTGCCTATTGCTTCACTTTATACAGCTTGTTAAACATTAGAAATGAATATACTGATTGGTTTAGTAATTGTTTTCTAAGTTGTAAGCTTTTTTAAAAAAACTGCACGCCGATGTCATATTCTGGGTGAAACATTCTACTTCCTTGTATTTCAAGAGCTCATAGATTTTATAGACTGTTACTTTTTATGGCAAATTGTGTCACCTCTTTTTTTTTTCCTTGCAAAGATCACCAAATGTCTCTCTTTTTTTAACTTGGAAAACTGTAATTTCTTTTTTGTAAAGTTTACTTGGAAGTTGCTTTTCATTTAAAATTATTTTACAGATGTTTTACCGCCGGGAAAATAACATATAAAAGTGGTGGAAACATTTAGCAATGCAGTTGCCTAAAAATAAACAATGTTGAAAGCTCACATGCTGCTGTTTAGGCTGCAAACTACAGGGAAGTTTCTCTAAACTTCAATGCTTCTAGATCTTTGCTTTGAAAAGGGGTGAGAAATAAGAGTGCTCTCTAAAGAAGTTATACAAGTTATCATAGGGAATAAATCAATTTGTTTCTTTCCCTCAAAGGTGACCACATACCATAGCATTTCAGATCTGCCAGTTACAAATAATTCTAATGTAAATTTCCCATTATAGATGGGAAATTGAGGACTTTGATGAAGGAGGAGGGAACTAATTAAAATAATACAAATTTCACATTTTCTCTTAGATCTCTTTCCTTGAATAACACGCTCTCCCTCTCCCTCCATTCACCCACCTCGCTATCCCAAACAATTTTCCCCAGCTGAAAGAAAAATTTAAACTTCCCTCTGGCTGATATAGTTCTTTAACCAAAGGATAGTACAAGATCGGAGTTTCACTAAAGGCAAATAAAGCTTTAAAATTACCTCATGCGTCATCTGGCTGCACAGACTCCGGGCTCATAGTGGGAACCTCCGGCTTGGTCCTCCCAGCATACAAAGGCAACTCAGTGAATGCCCCCTCCGCCCGTGGAGACGCGGCCTCAGCTGCCAGCGACAGGATATGCAATTTTGCTTTTTAATGAATCGTAAACAATTTGTATGGCAAATGAGTTTGTTTGTTTTAGTTTGGGGGCATATGTTGTACCAGGTTGTAGATAGTCATTACCTACTGCAGAATTTTAGGTGAGAGTGGGTAGAGCCCCGGATCATTTTTATTTTTCTAAATAATAAAGACACACTAGGATGAAAGAAACTGGTTAATAAAAGACTGAGAATAACAACCTCTCTTCTCCTTCTCTCTCTCCCCTCTTTTCCTCTCTATCCCCACCCCCTCTCATAACTCACTCAGACTTACAGTACGGCTTTAGCTACACTTTTTGACAACTAACTGGAAATAATCAGTTGACTAGATTAATCTTTAATTTTTTAAGTATAAATTTTAACTTTGTCTTTAAAAGACTATTTTGTTTAAGAAAGAGTTATTTTAAAATGTGAAATACTGAGAAGGGCCATCTCTGTCCTCTATTACTTTTTGTGATTGAAGCTAAGGTTGCCTTGAGGAACATGAGCTATAAGAATTACAAATACATTTTTTATATCAAAATGGAGCAAGAAAGGGGTCTTGTTATTGAAAAGTCAAATAAAAACGTGTATTCAAATCCACAGAGTTGTAAACAACTTAGAAGTTAAGAAGCAACCAGGGTTCGAGCACGTACATTTTAACAGTAATTACCTTTGGCGCTGCCACTTATAAGAAACCTTTTGATATCTGAGCCACTTCTCTAATGCTTTAATCACGCAAATCAAGAAATAGATATTACGTATCAACTTAATCTAGCTCTGTTGTGACATCGCTAGTAGAAACCCTCCCATAGAAAAGTAAAGAAAACCCTCATGAAATTTTCGTCAGCTCCAAATGAAATGGAGACACCCTGAAAGCATGTATTTGCTTCAAAATATAATTCTGTCCAGCAGAATTATCTCCATTCTACCCATATGGCATAAAATGAAGGCAGAATGAACATTCTCCTCTTCGTAATGATTTAGTGATAACAATGTGTTATGGGACTATTTTTATGTGAATTACAAAATGCACTTGTCTTGCTTCTGCCCTCCAATTTAAAAACTCATAGTGACTGTGAAATGAAGGCAACTAAATTATCCTACAAGCCCCTCACCCCATGCTAGGTCCTGAAGCATTTATTTTGGGAGCATTCTCTTTAAAAAATTTGACATACGCTTTTAAAATCAAGAACTGTCTGTCACTTAACACAAACTTGTACAACTTTGCATACCAGGAAAACACTTGGGCAAGAAGGATATGCTATGCCTTGTAGTATAAATGCCTACTTTTTAAAGTGTACATGTAAAAATAGCAAGATAGTTCTATGAAATACTGCCTTACTATGTTCAGCAATTCAAAAAAATAAAACTCTCAACTCCAGCCTACTTCCCAAATGATTGGCAGCTTTAACCACTGCAGACACAAAATTAAGAACTCATATTTCATGGAAACCTTTTGTTGTTGTTAAGATGCATTGGATTCACATCTTATGTTGTATTAGCCATTTCAATTTTTAAAATTCTCAGTGGAACAACTCTTGTTAATGATTGTTTGTTATAATTCTTTGAAGATATGGCCTAATGGAAATTTGTCTGTGAATTTGCACTTGCGCTTTTATGATAAACTAGGAAATTGCTACAATGTCTATAAATAAAAATACTCAAAATGAGGGGATTCAATAAATTATAATGCATATTATATCCTCAGCACTCAGCATATTTTTTGAGTCCATGATAAACATATTTATACACATTCAATTTAATGCATTTGCACACTCTATTTTTAAGTATTCTCACAGATATTTTGCAGATATTTGCAGTGCAGTGGCTCTACCTGAGTTTATTTTTAAATGCATAATTTTATTTTTATTGATCATTATAAATATATGTAAGTATATTAATTTCTAAGAATATACATTAACTTACAAGATTTCTGTACACTCCAACATTATTTTCTCACAGTATAAGCAGATTACTAGTAAAATCTGAATGGGGTAGGTTCTTTTTTTCTCTCTCTCACATATATTAAGAGGTTATCTTTACCATTTTCTTTTACATTAGCCTTGTACAACATCTTTTAAAGTACCATTTACTATTTTTAGGGAGAAGTAAATACACTGAACTATGTTCCTATCTTTTTTTCTTTAAATCAAATTATGATCCAAATGTACTTCATTCAGAATTGTGATTGGTTACTTAAGCAAGCTTATGTACTTCTATCTTTCTTAAAATCTTGATTTCCTGTTGTTATGCTCATATTTCTCCTGTGAACTTTAGACAGTGAAATAAATGCTTTGTCCTTACTTATTTTCTAGTTGATTTTCCTTCACCTGTACTGAATATTGACAGGAATGGTTCTAATTTAAAACCAAAAGAGTCAGGGGCTGATTAGAAGACAGGAAATTGGAGGATTAAACTGTCTGGTTGCACTTCCTTTACTTATCAGCACTCAGTAACTCACTCTAGATTACAAACTCAAAGGGACAAATTTTTACAATGCATTGTTTCTTCTGGATGTTTACATATATACAATGCATGTGAGGGTGTGCGTGTGTGTATGTGTGTGTGTGTGTGTATGCGTGTGCACGTACACAACCAGGCATGCACATGTATCTGTATGTGTGTGTGTGTGCACTCATGAGTAGGAACAGAAAAGAACCAGCAGCTGGTAGTTATAACTAGATGCTTTTAAGTGGGATAGTTTTAAACCAAAGGGGCTTATACTATAGGCATGAAAGTTCATTCAAAGACTATAATCCCAGGATATTCTCGAAACTTTCTTATTAAAACAGCTCTATGAAACCAAGCAAACAATGAAATACTATAAGGGAGAAAGCAAGACGCACTATTTTGGAAATGAAAAATAGATTGCAGTAGCCCTAATGCAGTCCATTTTTCCTCAGTTCTGCTCAAATTCCAACACCAATATTAGTGAATGAGTAGAAAAGGGGACCCATAAGGAGTTGAGGGAGTTAATCTAACAGGCATTCAAAACCATTTTGAGATCCTTTTGGCACCAACTAAGAAAGGAATCTTTCTAACTGTGGCAGCAGGTCTGAATGTTCCAGGTGAGCATATATGATGACATGGGTGCTTGGCAGGGAATGAAACAGCAGATCAGGACAAGAGGGTAAGGATTCGTCTTATGCCTTCAGGTCATTTAAAATTAAAAATAAATAACGAAAACAAACCACTGTTCTAGATTTTTACTGTGTCCTATATCTTTGCAGAGCTGTGCTCTGGAAACCATGCTGAGAATTGTCATTTCTGACCTCACTCTGCTCACCTCTCTTGCCCTCAATAAGTATTTGTTGATTTAGCTTAAGAGAGTTCTAGATGAGTGTGTGACCATTTTTCCTGCTCCTAATTACAATGGTGGGTTCTACTGAGAGATATAGAAGAAGAAAAGGAGTGAGTGTGTGATCTTGCAAAATGAGTTGGTTTCTTAGACTGGTAGAGCCGGGAGTTAGCGTTTAGGGGCTTGTTCTGGCAGTCCTGTATTCCTTCACTTACTCACCAAATATGTATTGGGCCCCCACTAAGGTCCAGAGTGGGAGAAAATCAGCGGCTGCTTCTGCCAACTGCCATCATTCAGGTTTTAAAAGCACTAGGGAATCCCTCTGCATGTAATAAATAACAGTGATTGATAACTATCTGTGAGAATCCGTGCTACGGGCTTTACATATTTTTTTTTATTTTTTCATTTAATCTTCACCACAAACCTATAAAGTAAGCATTATTGTCTTGCTTTATATATACACAAGAACCAAAACTTAAAAAAAGTGGCCCACTGCCCAAAGATGTGCACAGGCCAAGGATGGGCTGCCCAGACCATACAGTCCGTTTGCTTAATCTTAGACCAAATTTATCTGAAATGAATTTATGATTTTAGCACTAGAATGTAATGTTATTCAGAGCTTCGCAGACGTAGGACCGTACCTTGGTAGGATGGTTTTTGGGGGGCACAGTTCTGTTTGCTAAGATAACAGAGGCAGAAAAGACTTATACTTTGTCAAAGGCAAGAATAGGACACAAGTCTTGTGATATCTGGTCCCTGTTCCAGAAGCACTGTCCACATTCCTGTTCTGAAGCAGAAAAATCTAGTCTCATCACCCACAAAAGAAATTCATTAGAAAGATGCCAGAGTCTGATGCAAAGAATGCACCTAGGCATATTAAAATACACCTTTCATCAGAAGATGCATGCATGGGTCAGGGAAACCCAGTGTGTCTAAGTTCTTGCCAAATATTGAGAATATTTTTTCCTGCTAGTAATTTAATCTTTATTTAGCAAATATTTCACTTACAGTTTTAAATGGAGCATGCCATTAAGGAAAAAAAAAAAAAGAGGCCATCTTTCCAAAGAAAAGTTCCAGATTTTGGCTCTCTGTCTTTTTTTTTTTTTTTTTTGTAAACAAGCAGAAATGCCAACATGAAACAGTATTGGTGTTGAATACTTCCTGTTGCCACAGAATTGCTAATTAAAGGTTTGTCCCAACGTAGAGTTTTCTGTAAGAGAAGACACAATGCATGCTATATATTGCCTAATGGCAAAGATCTTAATACAAGCATTACAAGTAAACATCTATTTTCCAGACGACTGCTGACTATAAACAGTATGTCTCAGCCAGAGCTTTTTAATAGTGCCACATGTGGGAGAGATTTTTTATTCCTCCTAATCCAAGTTCCTTTTGTGATCCTTGAGGTGCACATGCTATTGCCCTACTGACTATTTTAAATGGATGATAATTGGGAATAATGACTGGGTCAGAGGTAGGGATGCATAATCCCAGGCAGAGCAGCCTTCCACCAAGTCAAAGCACATGAGGCCCTAGAGCTGGAAGCTGGCACTTATAAGGTGAATTGAGCACACAATGTACATGGCTAGCCCTTCTTGCCAAATAGATATCACATTACACTTCCCATCTCCCCCACGTGACGTAGGTGTAGACAAAATCTAAACCCATCTAGGAGATGAAACATTTTTGTTCCGAGAATAATCCCATCTACCTCCCCCGACTCCCAACATCCTTCGACTACCCTCTCCTTCACAGATGCATGCTTTTCAGTCCTGCTGATGAAATGGCTTAGTGGCTGAATTTGATAAGCCCTCTTCAAATGTTGAAAAGATAAACAGTGTTGGCTAAATAATTGATTTCATCTATTCATTTAAGAATCAATTACAGTCATCCCACCTTATTCAAGGAGGATACAGTCCAAGACCCCTCTCAGATGCCTGAAATCACAGTACCAAACCCTATGAATACTTTTTTTTCTACTTTATCATACCTATCATACATACATAGGTATGATGAAGTTTAATCTACAAATTGGGGATAGTAAGGGGTTAACAATAACTAATAATAGAACAATGATAGCAATATACTGTTAAAAAAGATTATGTGAACGTGCTCGCTTATTTACTCTCTCAGAGTATCTTATCATACTGCACTCACCTATTTGCAGAATGAGGTTGACCTCAGGTAACTGAAGCTGCAGAACGTGAAACCATGTATGAGGGTGGACTCCTGTAAAATTACCATAAATTGTTTCGTCATGTCTTACTTTAAGAAAAATGGCAATGTCAGTTCCCATTTTTGTAAATAAGTGAGAAACAACCTGTTATCAGGTGTTAAAGTCTGAACTCCATCCTAGCAAACAATAAGGAATCTTTGAATGCTTGTAATACATTGCCCAACACTGAGGTCCAAGTCAATACAGTATTGTCGGTAATATTGCATAAGAAAAAAAAATAAACAAATAATTTGGGGTGGGGGGGAATAACTATAAAAGGGGTTGATATGATTTCTCAATGGAAAAGTGAAGAAATAACAAAAATAAACACAGGGATCACAAATACACACGTCTTCAGACCAGGCAGGTCAGCTCAGTAGAAAGGGCAATGGGGCTGTGACAAAGACAGTGAGCAGTGGTGGGGTCTGTGATACACTGGAAAGCGATATCCATTTACCACAGACAACAGTGAGTATACACTGTACTAACCAAACAGAATGCATTCGCTGCCTGGGACCTAAAGCTATTGCGCATACACCATGGATCAGAAGATAGAATGAGGTTCTGGCATCAAAGGGTTTTATTCCACAAAATGCAAGAAATTTAAATGTTACATGGAAAAGGGATCACAGCAAATGTAACCCACATAAACTACTACACTACAGGTGAAACCATTCATGTCGATTCTTTTCTCCCTGGCAGGCTTTTGCAGGTGGGAGAAGAAACGCAGAGGGCCATGTCAGTATCTAAAATAGGAAAAGGGTCCCTAGAGCAGGAAAGACACTTGGTACACTAGAGACGTTGGGAGATGCTGGAGGATTCATAGGGGATGCAGAAAAAGAAGCCTGGTG